TGTCCGGATGGACGTCCACGTCTAGCACCTCGTTTCCCACGCTTGCACCCCGGTGCGCCCAAGTGGGGCTCGCGCCGCCCACCCGACCTACAACACGTGGAGACCGCTCATGCCTCGTACGCTTTCCACGCGCATGCATGCAGGAACATTCTGCGCACACTCGGCGGTGTTCCAGCAAGTGCAGCAGGCGGTTGTGACAAATTGTCCCATTGCAACATGTGCAACACTAGATCTACTTTTGCAATATCCAGATGAAACACTTGCAACATACGTCCAAAACAGTTGAAACACTTGCAACATACGTCTGATTGCAAAACACCTGAAAACACTTGAAAGCCACTGCAAGCTCATGCAATATCTAGATCTACTTTTACAACATACAGATAAAACACTTGCAACATATATATGAAACACCTGAGACTCTTGAAACATACGCTTTGCTATATGCATGTTATGCAACATCCACATAAACATCTACAATGTCTAGATAAAATACTTGAAACATACGTCTGAAACAACTGAAACACTTGAAACATATACTTGCAACATGCGTATATAGCAATTGCAGCATAGGCAATATCCAGATGAAACACTTGAAAACATACTTCTGAAACACCTGAAAACACTTGAAACACGGCAACGGCGGCCACGGTGAAAGCCCTAGTTTGGTTTTGGCTAATTGATGAAAGCTAAGTACTAACCTTTGTCATGAGTGTCATGTGAGCAAGGTTGGTACACACAGCGAGATGGAGCATGGTGATGAAGTACATGGAGGTGAAGACGGATATGTGATGATGATGATCAAGCTCTAACTTGGAAAAGAAGAAAGAGAAAAACAAAAACCAAGTGTTGATCAAGGCAAAAGTATCAAATAGGTTTTTGTTTTGGCACTCAAGAGACCATAGAGGCTGAGGGTGTTTAGGATCGATAGCCGTACTATAAAGAGGGAAAATCTTTGGCTAAGTGGTTATCGAGTGCCACTAGGTGACATGATTCTTGCATATGCATTAGGAACCTAGTGTGCCAACAATTAACCCTTGAAAAATGCTTGGAAAAATGCTAACACACGAGCACACAAATCACACACTTTGTGGTTAGCATCTTGGAAGCATGGGTGAAGAGTTTGAGGAGATAGAAAAAAAGGAGGCGAGGGTGCCTGACCGGACGCTGGTCTCGGCTTGACCGGACGCGTCCGGTGGCAAACCCTAAGTGGCATAACACTTGGCTCCGAGAGGGCTGAGTTGGGATCGGACGCTGGCATAGAGTCCGGTCACTCGGTCTAGAGAGAGCGTGGCTCGGCTCGTCGATCGAACACTAGAGGCGAGCCGCGACCGGATGTGCACGGGATGCGTCAGGTCGCAAGTGACGTACTCTGATGTAGCCTTCGTGAGCAAGCATAGTGAGGACCGGACGCCGGGCGCGTCAGGTTGTTGGTGATCGAGACGCGTCCGATCGTGAAAATTTCTCTCGGGATGCTCTCTGCATAAAATTGGCCTCAACCGAACCCTAAGTGACCAAGCGTCTGGTCATTGCATAGGCGAGTCCGGTCACAACTCAATCGCATGAGTGACCATTACTTGACCGTTGAGATCTAACGCACGACGGTCAAAGGGGCAACACGTGGTGGGGCCATTGGCCGATCGGACTTGGCCGACCGGACGCTGGGGTGCGTCTGATCACGCATGCGCAAGGTAATGGCTCTATTCATTTGAGGGGGTCTATAAATAGACCTTGGCCGGCTTGGATCTCACTCTCTTGGTACTTTGACCTACTTGACATTCTTATGAGCCTAAGCAAACACCTCCCACTTATCTTCTCCATTGATTCATCATCATAGTAAGATTGGGAGTGATTCCTAGTGTATTTGCTTGAGTGATTGCATCTAGTGGCACTTAGGGATCGTTGTGGCTGTGGAATTCTTGTTACTCTTGGTGGTTGCCGCCACCTAGATGGCTTGGAGCAGTGGAGGAGCATTAGCATGAGTTGGTGATTGTTTGTGGCCATCTCTCAGTGATTGTGAGGGGTTTTGTACCTTCCGCAATGGTGCGTCGAAAGGTAACTCTAGTGGATTGCTCTTGTCATTGAGTTACCTCACTTGTGGGTAGGTTCTTGCGGCGCCAAGTGTTGGCTAGGTGTGTGATACCTATTAGCCGCCGAACCACCAAGTGTTGGTCGACACAACAGGGACTAGCATGCCGGTAAGCACGTGAACCTCGGGAGAAAATCTTGTGTCAATTGTGATTAGAATTCTCCCGGTGATTCATTGACATTCATAGTGATTGGTTCATCTCTCTTGCCACGGCGGTATAATCACCCTTCACACTCTCTTGTATTTACTTTGTTTACTTTCTTGCCTAGTCAAGCTCTTTAGTGTAGTTAGTCTTTGAGAGCTTGTTAGTTTGGTTAGTGAGGCTCTTTAGTTAGTCTTTAAGAGCTCACTAACTTAGAGAGTAGTGACATAGCCTTGTATGTGCCTAGAGGTCATAACAACTAGAATTATTGTTATAGGTGGCTTGCAACCCTTGTAGAGCTAGAGCAAAATTGCTTTACGCCATTTAGTGTACTAACCACTTGCTCTATTATATTTGTAGAGAATTTTTATAGACTATTCACTCCCTCTAGCCATTTAGGACCTTTCACACGGCCTACATAGTGGGGAATTGTGGTAGCCAGCAAGCGGCGCTCGAGTGCCATGGAAAGGGAGGATGGCGACAGGCAAACGGCTGGGCGTGGTAAAGAACGTCGCGTGGGAGCAGTTGCCGTGGACCACGCTGCGTCGCTCGAAGAACTCATCGGCGAGTGGTGAGTGGCGGTTGGGAGATAGGAAGGTAGGCGACAGCGCTCGAGCGCGGTGCAGCACACTGCCGTGTTTCGGCCGCCGGCAGCGCGTGTCGCGGTGGAGCACGCCGTGGCGGTGCAGGCACGACAGCGATTCGAGAGTGGGTTCGAGTAAATGGATGCGGGCACAGCGGTGATTCGAGAGGAAAGTGACAGAGATTTTTATTTTGAGCAACGCGAGATGGGTGTGTCCGTGCGGATGGCAGTGTTGGCCGTTCATGCAAGTGTCGAGGCCCACCAACGCGCGTCTGGACGAAACGGACACCCTACCCATAGTATTTCCGTATATAGTTTGAAGAATTATCACCCCTCGTTGTATTGTCACTTTTTAGAAGTGTTGTCATTAGGACTAGAAAGATTCTAAATATGAGTTGGTAGAAAATTTATATATCAGAAAAAATTGGTCTACGTCTAACATATACGTGAGCCTCTCTTAGCTAACAAGGGTTAAGGGTTAGATGAAAAGGGAGCACACTCACCCTACACCTAACGCTCCTTGCCTTGAACACTTGCTAGTCTAAACGTAAAAGGCTTACCTCTCCATCCAACACTGCTCTTCTACAGTTTTACTACTTAACGGAAGCATTCTGATCAAACTTTTTTTACATAAGCATAAGACGGACGCACTTCTTGAAACTCAAAAAACATACCAATTGTGATTTTAAAGCCCACACCACCAAATCTTCCTTGCTCATATAGCGCATATGGAAACCTTATTATGTCAAGCGTGTCTACCGTCATCCTTAGCCCTGCCTATCAAGTCCTTTGGGGCTTGGGCTCATGTTAGACCTTAGATCCTAACTTGATTGCTTGCAAGTAGATGACATGGCTGGAGCTTTCAAAGGTGAGGCAACAACACTATAGGGACCTGGATGGCTTGACTCACCTTCAAGACGAAACACATTAGCAAGGAGGAATATAGCACTTGGAGCGATGATTGCCTGAGAGCTCTCTTGACTCTTGAAAGGATGAACAACAATCGTCATTGAGGGTGCCACTATGAAGATGGTGATACGCGTCAAAGTAGAGAAAATAGTGGAGATTTTGAGGAGGTTGATAGGTATGAGTCATGAGAACAGTGTCTGTAATTGTGCGAGTACACCTTGGAATACGCTAAACTTGGATGATTGGTGTGATAATGAAAAAAAATTATTCTAGAAAAGTGAGGTCTACGTAGGGGACTTTTTCCTCCGTCCATGTACATTGAGAAAGTAGAGGAAACTTTCCTCCATTTTGATTCATTTTTTCAATCCAAAGTTTGCTTCACTGAAAAAACAAGCCAAAACACTATTCTGCTGAAAAAAACAAGCTGAAAAATATAGATTATAAGACAAACGAACATGGCCATAAGCTCCCATAGTGATTTATTTAGGAATCACAATGTTATGGGATATTCGTTTGAGATGAATTTAAACTGTTGTAACCGCTGATACAATAGGTCACTGAGAAGCAAAATAGGAAAAGCTACAGGGCAGTCTTTTTCTTTGTAGTATCGAGTTATTAAACTGTTCGACTAAACTGTCGACTGATATTAAAGTCGACTGATAAACCGATCAAAACTGATTTATTCTTTAAAAAAAAACGTAAATTATAACCGATAAGCCGCGCCATAAGTTCAAGCGAACTGTGAGCCCAGAGCAGCAATCTGTGCACACCGAACTCCTCTCCTCCACTCCGCTCTTCCACGCCACGCGGATGGCGTGCACGCATTCAAGGTTCAAGCAAGCAGCAGTCCATCCGGGACGGCGTGAGCGCGTCCTGCGTTGCACCCTCCTTCTCCTTCGTCTCCGATCCTCGCCTTCACCCCACTCCCTCACTCTCTCGGCCCTTCTTTCCTAGCGGCGACGACAGGGTGAGCAGTGAGCACCGCCGCCCGTGCCTGGTCGGCCAGGTATGCCTATGCCCGCTCCTTCCCTTCCCTTCCTGCCGCGCGAAATCCAACACCCAGAACTCTGATTTATGCTATCTGTAATCAGATCTGAGCATGTTTTTTCGCCTTCTAGCTTCGATTTTTGGCAAACAAAAAAAATCGGGTATACATGTGTACGCCCACAAATTGCCATAAGAAAAAAGGGTCGAATTACTGGTTCCAGTTCGGTCCGGTGAAGTCGTTTACTTCCCTTTGTCTGCAGAACTAATGGGCGACAAGCATCGTAGCGACCATGGAGGTGGTCTCTTGCAGCCACTCCTGCTCGGCATTACATCAAACACCATTAAGTGCATGGAGGCTTCGGGGCAGTGCTCTTGGTCTTGGTCTTGGGCATGCCAAGCCTTACCGACCCAGAAGATACGCGGTTATGTGTGTGGGAACCACAAGAGGAGCTTCAAATCCGGGTGGTTCCGGCAAGGTCCATGCAGCCCAGGGATTCCATGTAAGCGACGTGGATGCAGCTCTGCAGGGCATTCCTTCCATGAAGGCCGGGGAGGTTGAGAAGGTGATGATTCAAGGCCTCCTGGAAGGCCCTGATGGCTCCCCGGTCAGTACTGGGTTCTGGGAGTGGAAGCCGAAGCTGACTGTGTACTACGAGAGGTCCGGCGTGGAGAACAGCAAGGCGCCTGCGGTGCTCTTCCTGCCGGGGTTCGGAGTCGGGACGTTCCATTTGGAGAAGCAGCTGAGGGATCTTGGTTGCAATCATAGGGTGTGGACGATGGATTTTCTCGGGCAGGGGATGTCGCTGCCGGGTGAAGACCCTGCTCCTAGTAGCATCGCGAGTGAAGAGGCGTTTTTGGGGTTTGGACAAGATTCACAGCCTTGGGCAGAGGAGCTGGTGTATTCTGTGGATTTATGGCAAAACCAAGTTCAGCATTTCATTGAGGAGGTACTCCTTGATTTCATAATTGTATCTTGCAATGTTTGTTTTACTAAAATGTCATCCATGTTTAGTTTGAAAACCTTAGCATGCCTCTTGGAAACTCCTCATAGGCTTGTTGATAATTTTTTCGTTATTCATAAATATCTGAAATTGGAACATTGTTTGAACGCCTTCATTTTTGTGTTGACAAATTGCTCGAAACTAACACTGATGACCAACATAAGTAATTCACAGCCTGTTCGGGAGGCCGTATCGTATCGTGGATTATTTACTGCTGGCTGGTTTGGTGTGAGAGAAAAACACTGTTCCCGGCTGGAAATTTACGATCGTTTACGATCAAGCGAACAGGCTGTCATATTTTACTGCTACTAGGAATGGAGTAATCGTCTTATTTATTTAATTTTATTTATTTATTCATTCAGGTTGTTCTGTTCAAAATTGCATACAGAAGGTTTAACTTTTGTGTATGCTCACCATCGTAGATGGATGGTTTAGCTATCTATGCCTTGGTACTGCAGGGAAACTAATAAAGGCTTGCCCATACATATGATCATATATATTCACCATGAGATTTATAAAATGTATCTTGTAAGCTAAGTTTATAGTTCATTTCCAGGTTATCCGTGAACCAGTTTATATTGTGGGGAACTCTCTTGGAGGTTTCGTTGCTCTTTATTTTGACGCATCCAGTCCACACCTTGTAAAAGGTGTCACATTGCTTAATGCAACACCATTTTGGGGATTCTTTCCTAACCCTGCTACATCTCCCTGACTGTCAAAGATTTTCCCATGGGCTGGGACATTTCCTCTTCCATCATTTGTGAGGAAACTTACTGAAGCAAGTGTTGTTTATTAGTTATGGAGAACATATTCGATTACTAAAATCATACGTTTCCCACTGAGGTGAACTAATAGTTTCTGATGTTCTGTCTTCGCTATATTGAGCACTTTTTCCTTTTTATGATATTTACTTATTTCATAAGACACTATATGTGTAGATTTTACGATTTAGTTTACTTATTTCTCTTGCATAGTTGCATTATTGAAATTTTAGAAATAGACTAGTGTGCAAAAGTAAATGTCTAATGCGTGTGTCATTTAAAGTTGTGAATTATCCACACATTGGATTCTACAAACTAAGTGGAGTGTAATTTCCTCTGTATGTAGTTGGCAAAAGATAAGTGACCCAAAAAGTATTCAAGACATACTCAAACAAGTATATGCTGACCACTCAACAAATGTGGACAAAGTATTCTCTCGTATTGTGGAGATAACACAACACCCAGCAGCTGCTGCATCATTTGCCTCCATTATGTTTGCAACAAGGGGTCAGATATCCTTCCAAGAGGCAATCTCTAGGTGAATTAGATAATCTAAAAGATCAAGTGAAACTTTACATAATAAATGCGATTTTCCATTTTAATACTCATCATTTGTAGGTGCCAAAGCCAAGGCGTTCCTCTATCTCTCATGTATGGAAGAGAAGATCCTTGGATTATACCTTTTTGGGGCATTAAAGTCAAACAGCAGGTACCCGAAGCACCTTATTATGAAATTAGTCCTGCCGGTCATTGTCCTCACGATGAGGTCCCTGAGGTAAGGATTGCTCTTTGTTTATAAATTTCAGCTCTCCTTTTGGCCTTAATATGCCATATTCCAATTGGTAATTCGTAATAATGGGTTTTGGAAATACTTTTGTCTTACAAATATTTCTCTGCAAGTCAACAAACAATACGAGTCAGGGGTCCTCATCGAAGTAAATGACACAAACTAGCTGTTCTGTTGGACAGCATGTTGTAAGGGTATATGTATATCGAATGCAATCCTCCTACAAGGTGCATGGTATTAACCCATTGATTAGGAAATGAGCTGCATTAGTAAGTTCTGCAAGTGGGAAAAACTGTCTCTTTTAAGAGAAGTTGTTGGAGTTATTGCACAGCAATAATGCTATTGCACGTAGGACATGGAAAACTGCAAGGAATTTCTATTAGTATATAGTGTATCTGACTAAGATTTAGAATTTTCTTCTAATGTAACAAATTTAGAAGAAACCCATTGATTAACATGTTACCTGAACAGGACTCTGCTGGTTTGAACTTTGTAAATATCGCAGCCATTAATGACTTGTGTCTAAGTTTGGAATCTTAAATGTGTCTATGCAATAAAAATGGAAAATCAACAGGTGTAAATATTACCTTGGAAGAGTATTGCGAAAGTTTGTTTTTTTTTTCCTTGCAAACAGTTAAAGGCTTTGCTTTTACACTACTCAAATAGCAATTACCGCTATAATGTAAATGGGGAAAAGTAAGAGGAGTTTTACGGTATCCTATACTAATGATGGGAGGTACTAGTATGCATTAGATCTACTGTTCAAGCACATATACTCTTATGAGGTAAGTAAATACCAGTACAATGGGTCTCATGTGTTGTAGTACTTATTTGTCCGGTTGCGCATTCAACAAGTATAACAATGCCTTAAAAGGAGTATGAGACAAGGATCTCTTCTTATTCATCTGTAGCAGCCTAAGAAGCTCCATACTTGTAGCGACAACATAACTCTATGCAGCTCATTGTCTTCAATAATTCAATCCACAGCTTCACCCCAGTTTTGCAAAATATTTTGACTCTTTGATCCTTTGGTCGCTGGCTAATGAGTTCATGAGAGGGCAGAGCTACTTCAAGCTTTCAATATTTTTCATACTTGCGTATTTGAACCCCAAAATGTTCCTATTTTTGGAGTGTATACTTAAATAATTAATCTTCTGAAAATGGTCCAGGATTATTTAGTTGATCATGGTAGCTTATATCTATCAGATCTATAATAATTTTCCTGGTCATCAGGTTATAAACTACTTGCTCCGAGGGTGGTTGAAGAACCTCGAGTCTGAGGGTTCAATCGACCTGCCATTTTTAGAAGAACCCAGCTATGCTGAGCATGGTGTATCCAGGGAACTGGAGTTCGTCAGAGAAGGATCAAGGAAATCAGTTAGTGTGCGGCTCTATGGTACCAAAATTTCCTTACGGAGCCAAATAAGCTCATTCTTGAACACACGTGCCCAACTCACGGGTAGTTTTGAGATAATCCATCCTTACATCTCCAATAGATCTTACTCTTAGAAGCTTTGATTCAAATATTGTATTTATTACTTTATTAAATTGGCCAGGTCATCTATTTGTAAACAGACAGTGTCTTCAGAATTTCTAGTGCATGTAAATAGTGGCACTACAGTGGTAGTTTCAAAATTTATCCTGATTCATATCCTGTCAAGATATGCTTGAAGTTCTGTTCATAACTACAAGGAAACATTTCATCTATGTACATGTACTCAACAAAATGATACAAATTGAGCGTGGGTAGTTGTCAGATCCTACAAGACGACGTGCTATTGTTTCATTTCATCCTTTTAACCTCAGGCTTCTATGTTAGAATTTTCTGGTTTTTTCTCAGGTTATTTGCTCGTTTGTGGCTGTTTTCTGGGCCCCATCTCCATGAGAATTGTTTTGAAAAATCTTTAAAATTTGCTACTAGGTACTGAGAATCACCCATAGTGCTAGCTGCTTTTCAATTTCTTTTTGAGCTACTATAACGAATTTATGGTTACCAATTTAAAGTTGCCAGGAGGTACTGAGAATCACCCATAGTGCTAGCGGCTTTTCAAATACGTTTTTGAGAATTTGGTCAAGGATTTTTGAACTATTTTGTTTGGCGACTATCAAGCTTTTGACCTTGTATGTAAAATATTGGATGCGTAGGAAGCTGAAAAGGCGTTGCGAATTTGAAAGAGGCTTTCACTCTAAATATTGCAGCTTCACCTCTTACTCTTAGTATAAGAGGCTTTCAAAGGATGCCGTTTTCCAGTAGTGTTTGTATTTTTGTTTTCTAATGAGATGTGTGGGAAGCTGAAAAGGCATTGCCAATTTGAAAGAATATGAAGTGAAACCCCGATTGGACTAGGAGCCTACCTTTACGGACCATGCTAGCGCCAGGACGTCCGGACACACGCGCGCATCCGGACGCCCGTGCACCTGCGTGCTTCGTGCTTGCGTCTGTTGCTGCGCGTGCTAGTTTGCTACGGCCAGAGAGTGTTGTTGCTGCTCCGCTTGCCCGCGTGCTTTCGCGCCCGCGCCTGCTGCTGCGCCTGCTAGTTTGCTGCGCCCAGAGCGTGTTGCTGCTGCTCCGCCTGTTCGCGTGCTTCGCGCCCCGCACCTGCTGCTACTGTACCTGCACGGGAGAGCATGTGCGTGGGGCCGTCCAACTGCATGCAAGAGAGAGGGTGGGAGCACAACGCGCATGCCGTGTTGACCCTGGCTGCATGCTCCACCGTGAGGGACCAAAGCCTGGTGGTGTAAGGGTGCCTGGTTCTGCGTACGTTGGGTGTTTGCCTGCATGCACACGCAGGCACTATGACCAGGGAGTGCTAGACCATTTGGACACTGACCAGCCATTGCGTGCACATCCGACTATTGGAGCTAGCATGCATAACAGAGATAGGCAGCGCTGGATGGATGCGTGCAGCGCGTGCATGCCGAGTCAGAGCGCGTGGGGAGCAACACCTGCTGTAACATACTGAAATAAGGTGAAACAACTGAAACATACGTTTGCAACATATGTGTATAACCACTACAGCATATACAACATCTGGATAAAACACTTGCAACATACGTCTGAAAATAGGAGAAACATTTGGAACACAACATACGTGTATAGCCACTGCAACATATGCAACATCCAGATGAAACAGTTGAAACATTAACACACTTGTAACATACATGTATAACCATTGCAACATATGCCACTTACAGATAAAACACTTGCAACATATGTTTGAAAACAGTTGAAACATTTGAAACATACATTTGCAACACACGTATATCCATTGCAACATATGCAACACCATTGCAACATCTAGATGAAACATATGCAACATACATCTAAAATGTCTGAAACATACTCTTGCAACATATGCTCATCTACTTGCTGTCGCCCAATAAAGATTGACGCGGGCACAAGGAAGCACGGCGCGAGGCGCGGACGCCACGAGGCGCAGGGCACACGTGCGCGAGGCAGGTCCGGTGCAACCATGCGAGGCGTGCGTTGCAGGGGCGCACGCACGTGAGGCGGGAGGCGCAGGGGTGCGCGGCGTGAGACGGTACCGTCCCCGTTCGTCGACGTCCTGTTAGGAGCATTACCGATATTCCATAAAGCTGCTCTTGCTCCTTCCTCCCAGGTAACAAAATATAAATCGTATAAGTCACAAATAATACTGCAACTAAAAATGTATTACTGTTTTTTAGCGGTGGTTAAGTTACTTGCTTGAAGATACATAAGTAGATTCACAAAGAGGACAATAACGTATTGTCGCATATCATTTTGAGACTATGAAAAGTAAGATCCTCAATGATCAGATCCAAGCATTCGTTTTGTGAATTTGCTTTCTTTTCATCATTGATCGCAAAAAGGATCACAATTGGGTAGTGCATTTTTGTTTGCGAGGATGTTAATGTATCTATCAATCCAAAAACAAAATGTTTTGTAAAGATATTGTCAAGTGTACCACAAGACATGGATTCCGCTTCGCCACCATTTCACGATCTTCTTATCTTAACTAAATGCCCTAGATCAGCCACTAAAGTTGGATGATGCCATACCAAGCTAATTTGGTATGGTTATACGAACAGTCTCCGGAATCAGAGTATATGACGTTGTACCGTGGGTAATTTTGATTTGAAGTTGGCTGTTTGGTTAGGCCAGTCTCGTGCTCTGCTCTTGTTCTCTAATAAAATACCCTTTTATTCGATTTTTGAGTTGCGTGTTAATACAGAATCATATAGCAAAAAAGAAAAAGAAAAAGAAAACTCAGCGTGGTGGCATCTGGCATGGCACCAAGCCGCAAGCGCAAGGCCCGCAACGGTTCGGTCGGGCCCTGCCTCCGTCCGATCTGATAAGCCGCCGAATTTCCCCACCGTTCGAGCGCCGCCCGCCCGCCCACCTCCCGTTCTAAAACCCTAGATCTCCCTCCCCTTGTCCCCCAACCCCGACCCCGCCGCTGCCTCAGTCGCCGGAGGAGGAGGGGCGCCTCGCCGCCGCCATGTATCTCTACAGCCTGACGCTGCAGCGCGCGACGGGCGCGGTGTGCGCCGTCATCGGCAGCTTCAGCGGGCGGGACTCGAAGAAGTCGGCCTTCACGCAGGAGATCGCCGTGGCCCGGGGCAGCACGCTCGACCTCCTCCGCCCGGACCCGGAGACGGGCCGCCTCCGCACGCTCCTCTCCGTCGACGTCTTCGGCGCCATCCGCTCGCTCGCGCAGTTCCGCCTCACCGGCGCCAACAAGGACTACCTCGTCGTCGGCTCCGACTCGGGCCGCCTCGTCATCCTCGAGTACTCCCCCGACCGCAACCGCCTCGACAAGGTCCACCAGGAGACCTTCGGCAAGTCGGGCTGCCGCCGCATCGTCCCCGGCCAGCTCCTCGCCGTCGACCCCAAGGGCCGCGCGCTCTGCATCGCCGCGCTCGAGAAGCAGAAGCTCGTCTACGTCCTCAACCGCGACGCCGCCGCGCGCCTCACCATCTCGTCCCCGCTCGAGGCGCACAAGTCCAACACCCTCACCTTCGCCCTCGCCGCGCTCGACTGCGGGTTTGACAACCCCGTCTTCGCCGCCATCGAGCTCGAGTACGCCGAGTCTGACCGCGACCCGACGGGGCAGGCCGCCAACCAGGCGCAGAAGCTCCTCACCTTCTACGAGCTTGACCTGGGGCTCAACCATGTCTCCCGCAAGGTCTCTGAGCCGATTGATAATGGCGCCAATCTTCTCGTGACTGTCCCTGGTGGTGGTGACGGTCCGAGCGGGGTTCTCGTGTGCTGTGACAATTTCGTGCTGTACCGGAACCAGGGTCACCCAGAGATTCGTGCTGTGATTCCACGCCGTGCTGACCTCCCTGCTGAGCGCGGCGTCCTCATTGTTGCTGCCGCCACACACAAACAAAAGAGTATGTTCTTCTTCCTGCTACAGACTGAGTATGGTGACATCTTCAAGGTTGACCTTGACCATAGTGGGGATACTGTTAGTGAGCTCAGGATCAAATACTTTGACACCATACCAGTGACATCAGCTGTCTGTGTGCTGCGATCTGGTTTCCTCTTTGCTGCTTCTGAGTTTGGCAACCATGCACTTTACCAGTTCCGTGATATTGGTAGAGATGCGGATGTCGAGTCCTCTTCTGCAACACTGATGGAGACAGAGGAGGGATTCCAGCCAGTTTTCTTTCAGCCAAGGGCACTGAAGAACCTCATGCGCATAGATGAGATTGAGAGCCTCATGCCAGTCATGGACATGCGTGTCGCGAATTTATTTGACGAGGAAACACCCCAGTTGTTCACTGCCTGTGGCCGTGGTCCACGCTCCACGCTGCGCATCCTGAGGCCTGGCCTTGCCATCAGTGAGATGGCCCGATCAATGCTCCCTGCCGAGCCTATTGCTGTGTGGACTGTCAAGAAGAATATAAATGACATGTTTGATGCTTACATTGTTGTGTCCTTTACTAATGTAACACTTGTGCTCTCTATTGGTGAGACCATTGAAGAAGTCAGTGACAGCCAGTTCCTGGACACCACGCACTCCCTTGCAGTCACGCTCCTTGGTGAGGACTCTCTAATGCAGGTCCACCCAAATGGCATCCGGCACATCAGGGAGGATGGTCGTGTCAATGAGTGGAGGACGCCTGGAAAGAAAACTATTACAAAGGTTGGATCAAACCGTCTCCAGGTGGTAATCGCTCTTAGTGGTGGAGAGCTCATCTATTTTGAGATGGACATGACTGGTCAGCTCATGGAGGTGGAGAAGCAGGACATGTCTGGTGATGTTGCGTGCCTGGCCATTGCGCCGGTCCCTGAGGGGAGGCAAAGGTCAAGATTTCTTGCTGTAGGATCCTATGATAACACCATCCGTATCCTCTCACTGGACCCTGACGATTGCCTGCAGCCTCTAAGTGTCCAGAGTGTATCATCGGCACCGGAGTCACTTTTATTCTTGGAGGTCCAGGCCTCTATTGGTGGTGAGGATGGTGCAGACTATCCAGCCAATCTTTTCCTCAATGCTGGTTTGCAGAATGGTGTACTT